TTACAATAAAAACAATCATAAGACCAATATCATAACCAGATATGCGACCCCACGGTTTAATGTAGATTTCGGTAAAGTAGGTAACACCGACATATAAATGAAAGATTAAACACACTATTAGTATCACTTGAAAAATTACAAAAAGTTAAACTTACTGCTTGCAAGAGGCCTGTTATAGCGTTCAGATTCATATTAGGATAATGCAGAAGAATGCCTACCACTGACCCAATACTAACGAGAACGAATAGAATGGCCACAATAAATGCAATGAACTTTCGACCAATGACAAATGGTATGAGAGCAAGTGGTGCAATCCAATGAAACTGCATATCATTGTCAAGATACCACGAAACAGACAAGCACGTGTCATCGGATTTAAATAGATTAGCAATGTAAAGAATAGATCTCCACCAACCACGATGACTACAACCATCAGGTTCAAATCCTTGTTTGGACGGATAGAGAGGTCCACGACCGAAGTATGGTGTCAAATTAATGCTCACAAGAATGACAAGAACAAAGGTCGGTGTAAGACGAATATATCGATGAATATAATAAAGAATAAATAGACGGAATGTAAGTTTTTCTTTGGTGATTTGTCTAACAAAGAGAACTGCTGTTAAAAATCCGCTGAGAACAAAAAAGGTGTCCACACTGAAGAGACCACTGACAATCAATTGAAATGCTATATTCTGAGACCAAGCAAGCGCATCGACAGAATTGCTTGCATAGTTTGAGTTAAAAACAAATGTATGACCAAAGATCACCCAGAAAAGTGAAAGTACACGGACACCGTTGAGAAAATCAAATGAGTCACTATTGTTTTTCATTTCCATTGTAAATATACGACGTAATGTACGTACAGCCGAAAATTGCGCAATGAATACTGCTGCTTGAGGTGTTGTATCGAGTAGAACTTTCATACGAAAATGTGGATGTCGTCGCAAGGTCACCGATTTAATCTCGGGTAATTCTGTAGCCGATATTTTATTGTGTCCGTTTATATCCGAAGTAATATGAGTGTCTGATACAAGACGAGAAGCAAGAACAAGATCGATGATAGTACCGATTAGGACGAGAAGACCGAGTAGAGAGAGAACAACACATGTGGCTATCGCACCGCGTGATAAACTCTTCTGTTTACTGGCATCATCATTCGAACAATGTACGTGTTCTTCGGTAATATTGCTGTTATTGAATAGACTTTGAACTAATGAAAGAATGGATTGACGATTACATGAAGAAGGTGCACAAATCCCAAGAAAAAGTGGGCGAGTCAATATTTGTGGTGGTATAATGCCGCTTAGAAGTAGAGAACCTAAAAAAGCATTCTCTCTCGATTTTATACATTCATAAAGCGAATAACATATACTTACAGTATTGACCATCGAACGGCTGTTGTAAGAATGTTTTGTTCTCGGGTTGATATAATGAGTCGAGACATTCATCGTAATTACCTACCCACCATCTATTTCCTTTGAGTAAACCAGATGGTACAGGCTTACCCCATGCATCTAAGATTTTGAGTGCCCAAAGCTCACGATTTACAGCTGCCTCGAACAAGAGTAGAAAGTCCTGGTCGCATTTAGTTGTCGTATTACTGTTAGAAGATGCTGAGAAAGATGCCAGCATCTCAGCAGGTGTAATACTGTATGACAGACGGTCAATCTCGTGAAGTGTGAATTGTTGATGCTGAAGTAGTTGATCGATAGCTACATCGAAACGAAGTGGAACGGTTCGGTATTCTCTTTGAGAAACGATGTTCGGTAGTGAAACAAGAAAGAATAGCACGACACAAAGCATTGCAAATATATTTTTGTTTATCAGATGTATGACGTATGTCTTATGTCAGTGTGATAATACGAAAAAGAACAAGTTTATAAATCACTTCATTTCTGATGATAAAAGTCGATCCAATTTCGGTGTTCTTATCTTTTCACGAGGTCACATAGTAACTCGTACTAATATCATTCGTTCGATATATATGAGCATTTATTTAATAAATATTAGTGAGTTTTAGTAAAGCCCTCGACGCATTAGAAGATCCGGAGACTTCTATTCGAAACAACAAATCCTAATTTCAACTCTTTTTTGTCCAATACACCATTAGCAAACGAGTTTATTTTAGCTATCCCACGCTCGTACAATGAGAAAGAAACGGATAATGTTTTAATGCGAAAACAAGAAAACAATTGTTGGTTAGAAGACTGTTCTTGAAACAATATAGACAGCATACCCTATAATTTTGGTGCGATTTATAATAGCACTATTTTTTTATAAGGAATGCGATCTATCACTGGTGATATTTATGTCCTATATAGCTACACCCTCGGACAAAAGCCTGCTCCCCTCTTTATTTCTATACTATCATACTTTGCATCAAATTTATTACCAAACAAAGGTACGACATAAGAGTTTTATTTCAGTATGATTTGTATCGTATTGAAATAAAACTCTAATGTCGTATCTTTACTCTGCAATAAATTTGATGCAAAGCATGATAGTATAGAAGCAAAGAGGAGAAAAGACTTTTGTTTCGTGGTGTAAATATCTTAAAGAAAGAAAATTAAACCTTTTTCTGTCAAAGTTATTTAAGTTAGTTGTTTAGATTGATGATTGGCTCGTATCAAGAGAATTGGTTGTTGAGGGTGGATGAGAGTGATGATGAGATTAGGAAATAAAATATATTCAAAGCATTATACGAGATGTTTCGTCTGTTGCTCAGCGAGTCCTCATCAGGCATGTGATGAATCTATTAAATACATAGAGTTTTTTTTATTATGCTAAAAAAAACTGTGATCCTAAGATCCTATCAGTACATATGAGTAGACAAAGAAGGAATAACGAGAGATAACAAAAACAACAGCAACAACAAAAAAGAAAAGAAAAGAAAATCATAACAACAAGGCGTATAACAAAATAGTGAGGTCTACAAGAAAAAACTTAACACAGAGAAACAAAAGATTCTGGAAAATTCTCAAGGAGTTGGATTTCGTCAATCTCATAAACAGGCACAGAAGAACGAGAGGAGACAGAAGTCATCTAACCAACACTTTTTTCGATTATTGAATGGTGAGGAATAAATCTTTTTGATGTTCTCAGACATTTAATTGAAAATTGTTTTTCAATCCAAATCTGTCTGAATACATTCAAATTAGCTTT